CCCCCTCAGATATCCACCACGACTGCTGCTAGGCATCACATGGATGGGTGGGTGGGAGGGATGAGGGGTGTAATTTTGGACTTAAGCAGTTAAATCGAACCTGAATCCCACTTCAGGCAGCTAGATCCTCTCATGAATCTGGGCCTTAACCTCTTCATGTCTCTCTCATCGCCTATAAAGCGCGGGTGATAATTTCTACCTCAAAAAGCTTATTGATGGTTTGAAATTATACCTGGGTTAAGGGCTATTATTAGGCTTAAGGATCCCAAGGCATTTTCTGTGAGAAGGTGGTAGGTTTGCATTTAAGTCACTTAGTCTTGAACTGTCCTTTCCATCTGGTTCCTGTTGCTGTTTTTCCCTTTCCCTGAACCATTCAGCAGTGACACAGCACTCCGCTGGATGATCGCTTCTTCGTTTCTCCCTGGAGCTGGACGCACTTTATGGAGGCCAAGTCACTGCTGAACACTTGTTCACAAACTGCCCAAGCTCCGGTACAGAGAAACACTTCGTTTAAAACTAAAATGATATTGCAGTGTGAAAAAAAAAATCAAAATTCCCCGATATGTAGCTGTCCCACAGCTTGAAAGTGGAGGTGAGGGGTTTGGGGTAGCTGACTCATAGGAGCATCAGAGATTTACATTAGAGGGAAAAAATAATTCCGCCCTCTCAAAATCTGTATTCAAATCTTAGTGACATGCAGGTTTGTATAAATTGTGTATATACACTTCAAGTCTTAAAAACATTTTAACAGTAAGCACTGCATTTTAAGACTCGAACTGTAACCTTGTGCTGCCACTCTGCTGCGGAGGCCGGGCACCCCATAGCATCTCATTCTTGTGCTGTAATTATTGTCTCCACCCAAGTTCATAAGAATTTTATAGTGGTTACTGCAGCAACTCCACTTATAGTTAGAGGCTGCTTGGCTTTTCCATTAAAAGGTCTTCCCCCCCCCCTCCCCACTCTTTTAATGCTTTAATCCATTTTGCAAACTTGATCTGCAGGTTTTCTGTCTAAGAAGGTTTCCTGCCCCCAAAATTCAGTTAAAACAGGTCACTTGGGTTGTCTTTCAGAAGAGAATGGAAAAACACTTCTTTTTATATTGTCAAATGTTGTTGTTACTCTGGTGCACGCACTCACGCACACACATGCACGTATCACCCCATCCATCGCAAAGCCTAAAAGCCGGTATTTACACAGGACGTAAACCTCAGGACGCTAGAGTGCAAATAATGTTCCTGCCAGCTACATTCCTACCACAGCTTGAAATAGTCTCTCTCCTGAAATCAGACAACCTCTCAATATAGGGGGATTCCCGGTGGTTTTGTGTGTATGTGGATTGTTGGTGTTGGCATGCGAAGGTGACTAATGTCTACATTGACTACTGGGTCACCCTAAGCTGAGTATTATAGGACATCCTTTCTTCAGAGACCTCCTTCTTGCCACGTTGGTCCCAAATCTCTTGACCACACGCCTCTTCTCCTCAGTTAGTTCATTTATGTCCTTTCCCATAAGCTCGGAGTTATTCTCCTACCTGTCTTCTGCTGCAGCTCCCTTCCTGATAAATGGCCATCGGAGTTATTCTCCTACCTGTCTTCTGCTGCAGCTCCCTTCCTGATAAATGGCCATGACCGTTTAGTACCCACACCCGGTATCCCCAGCTACTCAACTGCCACAGGTTGGTTTGCTCTAAAGATAATAAACCGGGCTTTTCTGGCACCTCTGCTGAAGCACGTTGACATGAAAAATAACATGAAGGTAGTAGAAGCAGTAACCTGAGGGAAGGACCCCGAAGGAATCCAACGGAGACCGATGCCTTGCGTCTAACATTGTAGTCATGAACATTTCAAATGAGCGTGTTGCAAACCCACGTTTCTTAAGCAGAGAAGGGCCATCAGGTGCCTCTTCGGCAGGCAACGGGTGGAGCGGCAGCGGCGGCTGCACTTTTACACACATCGTCAGGCTGTCAGGGAAGGGATTAGCACAGAGGGGCCCGCAAGGCTGGAGGAGGCGGTGGAGGGTGTCATCATGACAGCACACGGGACT